AGACCAAATACATTAACATTGTCATATCCATCACCATGCTAAAATCTTCCGAGAGTTGTCATGATTGAAATACAGTTTCTAACAGTTCTGAGAGCAATTATTTATAATATTTCTCCAAGAAAAGGTCTAGCAGCAAATTTATTTAAATGTGAACAAATGTAACAAATGTAAAATTATTTGCAGCTTTTTTATGGCTGATATCAATTATCATGAAAGCTCAATAACTATGAAATGTCTCCCACAAGAAACACTATAATTTGTACAAATGTAAGATTTATTCCTCTAAATTTGGGGGAATTTTTATTTAATGAATGCAGATTTATATTTAGTGTTCGTGTCCATGCGTTTTAATGCAGTTTGAGGAAGATATATAACCAGTGTTTGCAAAAACTGAACAACAAAATATCTGAAACAATCATGCCATTATTCACAATTGGTCATTTTAATCTATTAACAGGCCTATTAGTGCAGCTTTATTGCACTGGAATCATATCAATAGTGCTGTCATGTGTTGGCAGGATGGATTTAATTGTGCATGTGTATGTTTAACCTTCAGAGAACAAACTCTCAAGAAAGACTACCTGATTTTGACAGTGAGACATGTTTCAGCAGTTAAATATATTTAATCCCAACTCTCATTGCTTGGGGTGGTTTAGCATTCGATTTCATGTTCCTGTAAGATGTTTTCTACCATTCTATCATCTCTCTCTATGGTGTAGAGTCGTGGCCAGTCAACAGCCGTAAAGATGGGTCAAGCTCCAAGGCTGGTGGGAGGAGTGTAAATAGCGACAGAGGTGTGAAGTCTCGAGTGCCTCGTGCTGCCACATCCCGAGCTGAGAAGATCTGGCCCGGAGGAGTCATCCCTTACGTCATAGGAGGCAACTTCACTGGTAAAGAGACCTGAGTGTGTGCGTGTTTAACATCAACATATGAATGTGTGTGATTTACATATAATGGTTTCTGTGTGTGTTTTTCAGGAAGTCAGAGGGCCATGTTAAAACAAGCAATGAGACACTGGGAGAAACAGACGTGTGTGACCTTCATTGAGAAAACTGATGAGGAGAGCTACATCGTCTTCACCTACAGACCCTGCGGGTTCGTGTTCATTTTCTAAATGCATATTGTAGATCTTATTGTGAACAATTATTCTGGTCATGTTTCATTTTATAAAGAATGTTTCACCTTTTGCCAGACTCCCCCCAATCATTTAGTCCTCTTAAACCCTGTCCCTGCAAGTTTGTGTTCATCTGCCTCCACATTTGAGTGCAATACCCACATCTCAAAATCCAGTCTAAAAGCATGCATAGACCCAAGTCCCCAGTCTACATTTTCTCTTTTATGATAATCCAATAATCTGTTACTCTCATCACAATACGCAGTTGCCACATTGGGTTCTTCTAGTGTTTTCAGTTTTGTTGATTGTAATGGAAGTGACACATTTTGTGAACTAGTTTTATGTCATCACTAATTTGTTCTTGTTCTCTGAAAACCATAATTTTTAAGTTCCTGGGATGAGACCAGCAAGTTTTAGAGATGGAGTACAAAGACCAAAACTGTTTTTTGGTTGCCCCAAATTGTAATGGAAGTGACACATTTTGTGAACTAGTTTTATGTCATCACTAATTTGTTCTTGTTCTCTGAAAACCATAATTTTAAAGTTCCTGGGATGAGACCAGCAAGTTTTAGAGATGGAGTACAAAGACCAAAACTGATTTTTGGTTGCCCAAAATTTTTTTTCTGAGCTGAAAATGTACGAAAACTACCAGTTCCACTTTGCTGGGATACAAAACGCTTGGTTTGGGGACAAAATCTAAAGCAAAAGTCTAAAGCGCACAGCACAGGTGCACTCAGGGCGTGTCCGACTCCACTTTTGCTAGTTTAACGACGGGAAAAGGGTCGGCGCCCGGGCACATGATCTAAACGGGTTGTCCCTATTCTCTTAATGAGTAATGGATGTTTTTTGGGTGTAACGTGCAATAAACCAATCATGTTAAATATCTGTGTTGGAATGATGCTTATGGAAGGGGAGGTGAAATAATGAGGCAGATCCAGACAGAGAAATAAGCAGAATGACCATTGACAGAAGGACAAGGCTAGATTAGCGTGGAGGGGAGAGAGGTAGCGAGAGCATTGCATAATATTATCCATCTCAGTGCAGTCATATCTGTTATAATCTGCAGACGTCATTTAGCTATAAACCTGCTGACAGACCAACACAAGCACTGAGCGTTAACCTTCTACATGGCTTTTTAAGCATTTGGCACGTAGCTTGGGCCCATGTGTGCATGGATGTTGAGAAAGTGTTGACAGGCTTGATGTCTGACTCCTTTGCACAAATCTGCATTAAATATAAAGATATTTGATGGTTGCATATCCGTCACTAGTTAAAAATTTCAATTAATTTCAGTTCAACTGAATTTATTTGTATAGCACTTTTTATTTCATAATATAAATGGTTCCAAAGCAGCATTAACATTTTTGTTTCGGTTAAACATTCTTCTGTCTTTTTTATTAGACTGGTGAATGTGTTTTATTTTCAGTCTGTTTCCTTTTATTTGTTTGAATCTCTCTCTCGCACACAGTCAGAGGTGAACAATGTGTGCTTATTTGTCGTTAAGGAAACAACACGGCAAGAATCTGAAAGCTAACCCTAACTCACCCTAATCACCATTAATCAGCTCTCATCATTTCACACTATCCCCTGTTCACCCCACACTAAACTACATTACCCCAAATAACTAAGCATTAGCCCAGCTCACCTCCCATCACCCCCTCATTACAATCATTGTAGCACTTTATGACACTCTTGTGACATAACCAGAATCTAAGTTATTCAAGAGTGGGGTAAGCTAACAAGATGCTGACATTTAATTGAGATTTTCAGACTTTTAACTTTTTTTTTTTGGTTCTCAAGGTGTTGCTCTTACGTCGGTCGTCGTGGCAACGGTCCCCAGGCAATATCCATTGGAAAGAACTGTGACAAGTTTGGCATTGTTGTTCACGAACTTGGACACGTAATTGGCTTTTGGCACGAGCACACACGACCTGACCGTGATGATCATGTGACCATCATTCGAGACAACATCCAACCAGGTACTGTATGACCCATCACTCAAGTCTTTGTATCCTACCAGGTAACTGCTAGTTCAGTATGAGTGCATTCACACAGCTGTGGAATATGGATTCACTCTTGGTTCATAAACACAATAATTGAGCAATGATAACCACATTTTATAAGCAAATTTACTTTCCTAAATTTACATGACTCAACAAAAGACCAAAATGATAAAGTTAGAGATATTTGTATTATTTTCTCATCATTTTTCTCCGTCCATTAAAAATAAAATAAACCACACAACAATTTTTTTCTCAAAAGCAAGCACAAACGTTTCCTTTAAGATTTCGATTTGATGAATGAGTTTGAGCTTTGTACCAGTGTTTAACTAACAGTGTCAGTTGTGTCAAGAATTTTCTGTGATATTGAAATCACCACCTTTGCTATTTAATTTAGTCATGGTTACAGGCATTATTCATGGCTGTTACAAGAATAGAAAAGTTTTGACTTCAGTTATTTGTTCATACAGACAGAATTTTAGCTGCTGTTGTATGAACAGGAAAATTCGAGAGTCACACCTATCAATCAATTCTAAATACTTGCTTTGTGAATGTAGCCTATCGGTTTTAAATTTTAATATGAGTGTATGTGTGCGCACTCAGGTCAGGATCTAAATGCTGGCTTTGTAAAGGTAGTCTATCTGTTTTAATATGAGTGTATCTGTGCACACTTAGGTCAGGAGTATAACTTCATTAAGATGGAACCAGGGGATGTCAACTCTCTTGGTGAGCCGTATGATTTTGACAGCATCATGCATTATGCCAGAAACACTTTCTCCAGGTAAGACTTCTGTCACACGCAAGAAATTTCACACCTGTTAATTTAATTCAGAATTTCTATACAAATACAAATGTTCTCCTCTTTGTCTTTCTCTTCCCTAGAGGAATGTTTTTGGACACGATTCTTCCCTCTCGTGATGAGAAGGAACATTTGGCAAATGTTAGCAGATGATTTGGCTTCTCTTGAACAGAGAATCTGCTCTCCTATCCTGCAATGTTTGGCTCCTGAGATCTCATTAGAACAGTCAATAGGACTGTGTTACTTCATTGTGTGTGTGTATCTGTTTCCTGCACTGCTATTTAGCGGTGGCGCTCCGCCGCTGCTGAATATACCGTGCTACGATACAAGAATTTGTAATTGTGAACATCTTTCTATTGTGTTGTCTTCCCGGTTGCATGAAAAAACAAACATACAGCATGTCCAGTGTAGTCCGATTCATGAGTGAATGACTGTTGAGTTGGTTCTTTTAATGAATTGGTCAAAGTAAACAGTTTGAATCAGTCTAACAAATCATTCACTGAGTCTTTCAAAGAGGTTACTAAATTAACATCTAATTAAAGTTACACATTCAAGTTTTTTTGTAATAAATGGATTTTTTAACATACGCTCATTAATCATGTTATTGTGTTGGTCTCTTCCCAGCATGTGGCGAAACACTACAGGACTCAGTTGGTAATTTCTCGTCTCTGGGATATCCTAATGGATACCCATCATATACACACTGTGTATGGAGGATCTCCGTCACACCTGGGGAGAAGGTAAGACATTTCTGTGTGTTAAAGGGGTCATATGATGCATATGATTACAAGCTCTTGGTGCATAAAGAAGATCTGTAAAGTTGCAACTGTCCAATGAGCTGTGATGAAAAACAGAGGCCTCTAAGACAAATGTTTGGCCAACCGCTACATCGCTAATTGGGAGGAACATTTGGCAAATGTTAGCAGATGATTTGGCTTCTCTTGAACAGAGAATCTGCTCTCCTATCCTGCAATGTTTGGCTCCTGAGATCTCATTAGAACAGTCAATAGGTCTTTGTTACTTCATTGTGTGTGTGTATCTGTTTCCTGCACTGCTATTTAGTGGTGGCGCTCCGCCGCTGCTGAATATACCGTGCTACGATACAAGAATTTGTAATTGTGAACACCTTTCTATTGTGTTGTCTTCCCGGTTGCATGAAAAAACAAACATACAGCATGTCCAGAGTCTTTCAAAGAGGTTACCAAATTAACATCTAATTAAAGTTACACATTCAAGTTTTTTTGTAATAAATGGAATTTTTAACATACGCTCATTAATCATGTTATTGTGTTGGTCTCTTCCCAGCATGTGGCGAAACACTACAGGACTCAGTTGGTAATTTCTCGTCTCTGGGATATCCTAATGGATACCCATCATATACACACTGTGTATGGAGGATCTCCGTCACACCTGGGGAGAAGGTAAGACATTTCAGTCCAGCCCGGGGTCGTCACATGTGGTTGCCGCAAGCCCGCCGGACGCTCCTTCGTCGAATCCGCCAGCCGTGCCGTTCTCAAGCCCACCCGCCTCTGCTCACTCAAGCCCGCCGGCCGTTCCTCACTCTAGCCCCTGAGAAACAATAATGTACAGTATGTGGAAAATAATGTGTTTTTTGAACCTTAAACCGCATAAACACATTTCATTACACCAAATACACAAAATAATGTTCTTTTTAGCAACATCATATGACCCCTTTAAGTGTGTAACTTTACAGAGGTTCATTGCACTGAATTGTTCCACATTTATCTGCATCTGCAATTTTCAATCTATTTCTTCCTGTAATTGTCTTCATTACGAGGTTGCAGATAAAGAAACGCTGATCTAATGCGTGAAGTTTGACGTATATGACAGCTGCATGTGTGCTGCCCATTTCAGATAGTGTTAAACTTCACCACTATGGACCTCTACAAGAGCAGCCTGTGCTGGTATGACTACATTGAGGTTCGTGACGGATACTGGAGGAAAGCGCCATTGCTGGGTACATACATGCTGGTGGATTCACCAGGAATATAATGGAGTATATTAAGCAATATGTATAAACAATGCAATGCATGCTTAATGAGGCACTGTTATTTATTGTGTGTGTGTGTGTGTGTGTGTGTGTGTGCAGGTCGTTTCTGTGGTGATAAAATTCCAGAAGTGTTGGTCTCTACAGACAGCCGGATGTGGATTGAGTTCCGCAGTAGCAGCAATTGGGTTGGAAAGGGATTCGCAGCAGTCTATGAAGGTGTGTGTGTGTGTGTTATGGCTGTCACAATATCAGATTTACACTACATGGTTATCATGCCCAGAAGATAACAACAGATACAATTATTGTGATGTCCAAACAAATTTTGAAAAAAAACAAAACAATGAATCACACTCAGAATACAAGTGTAGGCAAGCAGAGAGAGAGTTTGTACCCATAACACCTGGTCTTTTTTACGGAATCAAAAAAATCTTCCTTTTTTCTTTTCTGATTTATGATGGGTAGAAACCAGCATTAAGTAGTACAGTATGGTTTTAACAAATAATAAATAGTATGAAAATGGTATAAAATATTTCTGATGACAAAGTAAAAGTCTAACTTTCTCTCTCTCTCTCTGGTAGCAATATGTGGAGGGGAGATCAGTAAGGACTCTGGACAGATTCAGTCTCCAAACTATCCAGATGACTACCGTCCATCTAAGGAATGTGTGTGGAGGATCACAGTGTCCGAGGGCTACAGTGTGGGCTTGAGCTTTCAGGTCTTTGAGGTGAGGTTGTTGTCTCCTCTCTTTTGGCTGTGTTCAATTTATGTATTTCCAGTCAAGTTCTGTTTTCACTTTAGCCTTCCTCTCTTGTTCTTCTCCTTTTCCCTTGTCTTTTCATTCTGAGCAAGGACAGCAAAAAAGAGGATAGTTGTTGCTATTTACATGTGTGCTGTTTAAAGTTAGACTTTATGATATACATTTACAAATAGACACACATCTTTGTCAAGTTGAATTTCCTATAAGACTGCAGGTGTGTGAGGCCAAAAGACAGACATGTTTGATTATTTACCTTAAAATGTCAGAATGTTGTTACAAGTCATTCCGTAAGTATATATGCAGACCATTGTGTGTGTCAGTAGGTCAAAGGTGTCGAATTGTTCAGAGGGAATGAAAACACTCTCTGCCTTTGCATACACACATTCACACTTTGTTTTGCACGCATACAGTCTATAAAGTGCAGGACGTGTACCAGAACTGAAAGCCTGGCATATAATATACACAGACGCCTGAGATCCTGTTTTTATTGGATTGTTTCCTAGGCATTGACACCTAAGGTGCCGTAGACATGCTAATCCCATTAACACATACTTTATTGTGCCTGTGTTTGTGCAGATCGAAAGGCATGACAGCTGTGCATATGACTATCTAGAAGTTAGAGATGGATTGTCTGAGAACAGCCCTCTGATCGGCCGATTCTGTGGCTATGATAAACCTGAAGATATCCGTTCCACCTCCAACACTCTCTGGATGAAATTCATCTCTGATGGGACGGTTAATAAAGCAGGCTTTGCTGCAAACTTCTTCAAAGGTTCACACACATAACTAAAACTGCTATCAGATGTTGATGAGTTGTCCATTCAACTGACGTTACTCTGTGTCTGTGTCATTAAAACAGAGGAAGACGAGTGTCTGAAACCAGATAATGGGGGCTGTGAACAGAGATGTGTTAACACATTAGGAAGCTTCAAATGTGCCTGTGATCCTGGATACGAACTGGCCCCTGACAAGAAGAGCTGTGAAGGTAAGAGAGTGTGTTTGTGTGTGTGTGTGTGTGTGTGTGTGTGTGTGTGTGTGTGATCGTACTGCACACAGGTGCATCCGTCTGCCTGACTCAAACATGTTCAGCGGATGCTCAAGCCAAACTGAATGGTTCAGGAAAACATCCGCAGTCAACAGGAAAACAACAAGAACAAACAGCACTTAGGCCACACTCACTCTGTTTAGAAACCACATGATTTCTGTCATTAATAAAGTACAATGTGTTGTGGTTATGCTAAAATAACACAAAAACCATCAAAGACCTGTGCTATACCCTTACGAAAAAGAAGTTTATTCAAGTGTGCTATTAGTATACTTCTTTTAAACTAAAAATAGGAAAGTATACTTTTAGTCTACTTTTACTGTACTTCTCAGAAATGGGCTTTATGTTCTTCTCAGAAATATACTTAAAATGACATTTAAGTATACTTGATTTATACTTGAAAAAGTCGAAATATATTTGAGCTAAACTAGTAGTTTACTTAGACTATACTTCAAAGTGTACTAAAATGCTACTACAAGTATTTAATTAGTAAACTATCAGTATACCTATAAGTTCACTTTTAGTATAGTTGCAGTACAAGCTAAAAATATTGATGTAAACTAGTTGTGTACTCAAAGTTTACTACTGTTATACTTAAAGTATACTTAAAAGTATACTTTTATATTCTAGAAAATGGGCCAATTTAGTCCCAAGGAGTATTGAAATAGTACACTTACAAGTATACTACTAGTACACTGATATTTGTATACTTACTACATAAAGTATACTTAAAAATATACTTGACCTTTACTTAAGTATACTTAATAAAATAAACTTGAAGTATACTACTTTTTGGTAAGGGTAGTTTCTATTGAATTGAATGCTTATTAGTCAGTATACTGCCAGAGCACTGAAGACAGAACCTTTCACTGTTATGTTTTTAAAGCTTTGTTCTCACAAGGGTTATTATAGTTAACTAAAATGAAAACCATAAAAAACATTTTTAATCAATCATTGCCTGATAGTTTTAATTGAAATAAAATAAAATATAAAAAAAAACATATTTCAGCTAGCTGCCATTCATTTAGTTTACCTCGGATGTACTAAAACAACTCGAACTAAAACTGAATAAAAAATTATTAAAGTGCCCCTATTATGCCATTTTTAAGGTTCCTAATATTGTTTTGGGAGTCTCCTGCAATAAGTTTACATGCATGCAAGCTCAAAAAACACTTTCGTTTTCTCCGAATATGCATTTAATATCATTTAGTTTACCTCGGATGTACTAAAACAACTCGAACTAAAACTTTCACTTTCGTTTTCTCCGAATATGCATTTAATATCACATCATTTTCCAGCAATTCTCAAGTGATTCGTTCGAAGCAGTTCTAAGATTCAGTCTCTCTAAACCCCTCCTTTCAGTGAGCCTACTCTGCTCTGATTGGTCAGATGGCCCAGTCTGTTGTGATTGGTCTACCATATACAGCGCATGTTGGAAACGATACGCCCATTGTCACAGTTCTGTATTTTGAACGCTCGATAGAAAATATAAACATCTATTATTTATCATACTCTCAGGTTGTGATTCAGTGGAGCCAGCTGGTCCAAATAAACAAAATGACAAAAACACACAAATTTACTAAAGTGTTAACTAAAATTAAAATGAAAACAGAAAATAACAATAAAAGCGAATTCAAAATTTGAATAAAAACTATAATAGCATGATTAGTGATACTAAAATAACATTAGTGCTCACTCTTTTTCTCTTTCAGCTGCTTGTGGTGGCTTGCTGACCAAGTTGAATGGCACAGTTACTACCCCAGGTTGGCCTAAGGAATACCCTCCCAATAAGAACTGTGTGTGGCAAGTGGTGGCTCCCACTCAGTACCGCATATCCATGCAGTTTGAAACCTTTGAACTAGAGGGAAATGAGGTGAGACCCTCTAAATGTGTGTGTGCGTGGATGTGCCAGTGTAGGAGAGTGTGTTATCGTAGGTAGATAGACAAACACACAGACAGAAGGATGGATGTTTATCAGTGCATTATTTGTATATTTCATCTGCACAGGTTTGCAAGTATGACTATGTTGAGGTGCGGAGCGGCTTGTCATCTGACTCGAAGCTTCATGGGAAATACTGCGGTACGGAAGTCCCTGAGGTCATCACCTCCCAGTACAACAACATGCGAATTGAGTTCAAATCCGACAACACAGTCTCCAAGAAAGGCTTCAAAGCTCATTTCTTCTCCGGTAAGACCACCGTGCCAGCGCTTTTCATTTGAAATGGAGATTTGGAAGTCTTTAGCTATGTTTTGACACCTCCACCCAAGCTCGCTTGTGTATATGAATTTCATAATGTAAATTTCAAAAGCTTTCCAAACATTTTCTGAGGTAAAAGGCCCCCCTCTCTCTCTCAAACAACTATATCATGAGAAATTCTGTGGGTTTGGTTAGAAATGTTCCTTGTTGGAACAGGCTATCCAAAAGCATTAATCCAAACAGTGGAATCTGGATTTAAGCATAATTCTGTCAGGACCACTTCGTCAAAGATGATTGACAATTAGCATACAGTTTGGATTGGCGGTATGATCGAGAATCGGTCAAGCGTTCTGAAAAAATCGAGATTTAATTTTTTTGCCATATCGCCCAGCCCTAATGTCAGTCAATCATAACAGTAAACCCGAATGCATAAGACAAAAACATTTTTTTGATTGGCTAGTTTTCATGTTAAAAACAATCACACAACTTATTGTGCTTATTATTTTAAGCTGAATCACAGGCAGGATCTGCTATTTTATGATTCATCTGTTTGTATTTAGATCTTCTGGGTATATTTGTACTGTATAAATGGAATGCACGAATGAACATTAACGCATACGCATGGTGAGCGAGTCCCGCTGTATCTGGGTGGGAAAGAGAGTAAGCTCACCTCTCAATGAGTTATAATACCCATTGTCTGGAAGTCCCTGAGGTTGGATTTTTGCTGGCCCAGTGCCGGCAGGTCCCCAGAGCTCTCCCACACACTCCTAATCTGTATGATTGTGTACTGAGCCGAATGAGAGCACTGAACTGGAAACAGTGAAAGAGCTGATTCATTTCTTGTATATGCACAGTAAAGAAAGCAAGATTTTGATATGCTGGCTGGACCTTTAAAATTATTTTAAGTGGCACAATTATTCCACTGTGGCAATTTATGATCAAGCATTAATTTCTCAGGAAAAAATAAGGATCTTTTGAACAGAAAGGGCACGTCATGCGCACAGTAACAGCAGGAAATCATTCAAGACATAATATGTGGTTTGAAAACAGCATTAATTATGAAAAATGTGTGGTAACCCACAAAGTCTTGGGTCTCTTTAGTTCTCTCTCCATCTGTCATTCATTGGGTTTGTATGATGAATATGCTGGTGGTTTTGAGCAGTGGTTGAAGTGTGATAATTAGCGAAACCTGAGACTTCCATGGAAATAACAGCTTCCAAAAGGCTTCTGACCCATGGGACACTGGGGGTGTAGAGATAAGCAAAAAAAACAACAACATAAGGAATCATTGGCTGTTTCTGAACGTGCAACCATTAAGTGACATTTAGTTTACACGTATTAGACACACAGACTAAATATGATAGCACTTTTTCTTAATCACTTAACCCTTCCCCAACAACATACAGTATAATTCTCTCCTTCCTTTCCTGTTTTTAAAGGGAAAAGGGGGTCTGTTGTTGTGCCCATTAATATCTCAGTTTATTTGCAAGAGTGTCGTTTTTGTGCCCAATTAACTACAGAAATTATGCGAATCAGATTATGGTCTATAATATATGCATACATCTTTAATATATGCATCTATAATGAGCCTAATTTACATAAAATTAAGGTGTTTGTGCTAGAAGAAATGACAGTGGCTTAATTTAAATTTGGTGTTGCTCTGTTTCAGTTTATTTAGCATGTGGTTAAATGGATTGTGGCTGGTTTTTGTGGTGAAATATCACTGAGAAAAGTGACAATCCTTTTAAATGAATTTACCTATGAATCTTTTGTCTTTTCTCACCGTTCTTTTCAAGATCTCTTTTGGTTAATGAACGGATATTGGCATTTAACCTCAATCACTTACTGTAATTGCACTTTACAGAAACAAAATAAACTCAGACTCCAGATGTCAGAATTGATCATTACACTGAAGGGCAAAGTGTTAAATTTCTCTTGGAAATCATCTCTTATGCAAGCTTCAGAATGTCTCAGTCAAAGGAAATATAAAAATAAGGGTCTTCTTAAATTTAAAATCAGAAGGGTCTTCTGCTCCTAATAAACTATTTTTCGCTTTCTTCTCTTTTTGTTACAGATAAAGATGAGTGTTCAAAGGATAACGGTGGATGCCAGCATGAGTGTATCAACACTGTTGGCAGCTATGTGTGCCAGTGCCGCAACGGCTTTATTCTGCATGAGAACAAACACGACTGCAAGGAAGGTATGTACAGGCAATCGCAAAAAGAATAATAGTGGCTAGAAGAGGATAAGTGAGGGTAGTCATCTGTGGTGGTGGCGCATCTGGCGTGTGTAAGCATGTTGATTTATACTACATTCTGCTGAGGACGAGCAAAAACCCAGAAACAACAAAAAAAACCCTGCAACTTTCTTCTCGGCATTTAAAATGCAGGGTAATGCCATTTTTGTGCTGGTCTTCTGCCAGGTTTTTCTATTTTTGTTTCTATTTTGACTCAAATCTCAGTTACAATTAAGATTTGACGATCTGAAGTTTTTCCGATTTTCCAAGGAGGACTCTGATAACCATTTTTAATCTGACCTTAACATTTCAACGTGGATTGCTTTGTGAACCTGTCACAATATAATGCAGGCTTTGAAGAAATTTTGTTATGAAGAATGGGGCAGTTATTGTTTAAATAAAACTACACTGGAGCCGATAACTAACCTACAGCGCACAACAAAGAATAGTTGAGTTCTTAAATGCACAGAAGCAAAAAACAAACCTGTTTATAGAGTCAGAGTGAGGTCAGATAGAATTATTACTGACAAATTTTTTTAAAAACATTTAACCTAAAATTTGTATGATAAAACAGTGTCTTTGTGTGATTGATACTTGTAGCTGCATTAGAAATACAGTGAATGAGGTGACTGAACTTAAAGCGTTAAAGTAAACTGTAAAATAGTTGTCCTCCAGATCTCCGCATGTTGAAGCATTTAGATGGCCTGTTACAGTCAAACAGTGTCTCCCACTAAACCTCGCCTTTCATACAAGTACTCCAGTGCAGCTCTGCCCTGCAGGCCTTTTAACATTTTTGTGAGCTTTGGAAAGTTTAAAGCAGTGTGTGTCTTTCTCTTTGAAAAGAAAAACAGCTAGACCTGAGAAGAGGAGGATAGAGATATTACCATTTAAGCTCCAAAGTCAGGGTCAAGAAGTTAAACCAGCAGCATCCTGGAATACACACACACACACGCGCACACACACACACACACACACACACACACACTCTCACTCACTCACTCTCACTCAGTCTTTACTGTCTCTTCAAGGCTAGCTCGCGGACTTTGATTTTAAACATCTGGAGTTTCACAAAGCTTCATATTCTTAATCCTGCTTCTGTTTTCATTTTCCTTTGTGCATGTACATGTGTGAGCATAAGATGTGTAAAAGTCTCTTAAAAGTCTCTCAGTAGCAACACTAGACCAGCTTTACAGCTTTACTAGTTGCTTATACAAGTATTACTAGTGTATTTACACAAGAATGTCAGTTTAACAAAGTCAAGAGCTGTCTGAGATATTGTGCCTTTAATGGTGGTACTAATGTGGTATTAATGGTGATATAAACACACAAATAACTCCTTTCAAGTCACCTTATCTATTCAAATTCAAACACACACAAACCAACAGCATTAAAAGCAGTCACATCAGTGTTTGAGAAGCATGTGTACATGTGTCTGTATGTGTGAGTGTGAACACCAGAGGCAGAACACTGAAAATACCTTTGTTCACTAATGCACACTGACCTGATTTTGAGAGGGAAGAATAGAGGCTTAACAAGACTTAGTGCTCATGTGTGTGTGTGTGTGTGTGTGTGTGTGTGTAGTGTGATAGTGGTAATACTGTACATGATACAGTGGGGTCCAGAACTCTGATACCACATTGAAAATCTGTTTATATATATATAAACAGATTTTCAATGTGGTATCAGAGTTCTGGTTTGTTTGTGTTCTAGAAGTTTACCCAACTATGACGACTTCCACTTCTGAGAACCCTGAAAATATAAAAAGGGTCCATCAGTGCTGCTAAAGAATTGTGTCAAGTACTGAATGAGAAACTTTCAGCTCAACACATTGTACTACATTTAAATCCACAGAATTACAAAGATTTCCCCCAAAATCAGATTGAAAAAAGTTTTGCTGGATGTACTCATGGGCCATTGTTATCTAAACGGTATCACTCACATGTTATTATTGTGCTGCATCATTGTTTCTAATGATCTTTACCCTCTTCACCCCTTACTTGCTTATCAGCCGAGTGTGAGCACAAGATCCACAGCACAAGTGGAACCATCAGCAGTCCGAACTGGCCTGACAAATACCCCAGCAGGAAGGAGTGCACGTGGGACATCAGCGCCACCCCGGGCCACCGGGTCAAGATTGTGAGTCTTTATATAATTCTCTGCTATATGTTTGCATGTGTTAAACAACCTTTGCATTAACACATACATCTCACAAAACAAGCACACAAGACCTCTACGGTCACTGACCCAAGCAGAGACACAAACACACATGTAATCCTATTGTGTTCCTCTCACGTTCAAAGGCAAATAATCTTGCATCACACATAAACATGAACACATGTATAATCTCCTCTCAAACAAACAAACACGTGACCGTGCAAACATATACACACGCATCAAAACCTCCCTCCCCTATATTACATAGACATATACAGTACATGTTCTCACAAACACGCACAAGATACAAGCAAGCCAGGATATCTAATAAATCACATTAATAAGGTTTGAGCAGTTGTGTCCTTTAGCTCATATTTCAATTCACAGTTAGGATTTTAACATATTAACAAACATGTTAGCAGTCAGCTATGGCAGGGTTTAGAGGGTGACCTCAGTATCTCCCACTGTGCTCTGGATCGGACTTCTGAGTCGTCTTCTTAGATCTAAAGTGATTCTAAATGGCCCTCCTCTCTAAGCAAGTCACAAAAAGGAGAATTGTATTGTTTGTTTGGATGAGGTAGTTTTGGGGAATGATTGTTTTAGGGTCCATTAGAATTAATATATCATTTTGGCATTAACGTTTGAAGTTCTCATTATACATTTGTAGAGTAACTTTATCACCACGTTCATGCTTTTATTGCTTTCTCTCTGTGTAGCCGCAACAGCTGGCTTTTTATCCAATAAGGATAATGTTGTAAGCACTAAAGGCACAACTTTAAAACATGTAATTCAAACTCATGCAGTGGTTCAGGGATTTGCGGATGCTCCAACACAACCCAGTTTAAAGTTTTGTCAAGGCAAGCCAGTTCACTCAGTGGCCATCTTGGCAACACGATTTCTGTTTAGCCACACAAGGAACCTATTCCCACAGAAAGCTCTACAGATGTTTGCAGATTTCATTCACACATCCTGACCCTTGCATGTTTGTTTATTAAATATTTTGCTGAATTTGATCAGTGCTTCAAAGTCTCTTATACTCATGATTTAAAATACAAAACAGAAACAGCTGTGCCGCTTAATATTTTTGTGGAAACAGTGATGCTTATGTTTGTCTGTTGAGATTTTAATTCCTGCAGCCACCACATTGAAAATACAGTATAGCAGATATGCTCCTTAAATATGTCAGATGTGTCCAGCTTTTAGCTGAGGAGGTCAAAGAAGAGAGACCTTTTCTTTCTGTTGAATTGATGTGTCAGTGACTGCTGCAAAATTATTTTCTCTTACTAATTTTTCCTCGGTTGTGTCTTTCTGTATCTAGTCTTTTAATGAGTTTGAGATTGAGCAGCACCAGGAATGCGCATATGATCACCTGGAGGCCTTTGACGGTGACTCGGACAAGACGCCCATCCTGAGCCGCCTGTGTGGCAGTAAGCTTCCAGAACCGCTCATTTCCACGGGCAACAGGATGTACCTGCGCTTCATCTCCGATGCCTCAGTGCAGCGGAAAGGCTTTCAGGCCACTCATTCCACTGGTAACTACCTTGTCTTTTCTGCATCTTATGAGTTTTGCTTATTTGCATGTATAGCACTTGGGTCAAATGTGATTCAAGTGTTCATAGAAGCAATCCTTATGTCATGCTCACAGTTTAACAGAGCCCTCTAATGGATCATTACTGCATTACATGTTGACTGGAGCCCCTGAAGTGTTACTTTTTCACATTTGACTTGTTGCTAAGCTCCACCCACCCTGCTTACTGTTGCTTATTACAGTCAACTGAAAAAAGAAAAGAAGACTTTTTCTAATGGGGTAAAGGGTCATCAGATTTGAGTAAATCAGTGTATATGTGTGTGTGTTTGTGTGTAGAATGTGGCGGTAGGCTGAAAGCAGAAGCACGGCAGAAGGACCTGTATTCTCATGCTCAGTTTGGGGATAATAACTATCCAAGCCACGCCGACTGCGAGTGGCTCATAACGGCAGAGTCGGGTTACAGCATTGAGCTCACCTTCACCACCTTTGAGGTAGAGGAGGAGGCCGACTGCGGGTACGACTACATCGAACTTTACGATGGCTACGACACCGGAGCGCACAAACTCGGACGCTTTTGTGGATCTGGGGTATGAGCAGTTTGTGTTACTAATGAGTCGAGGATTTTCTTATATCTTACGACTGACCTCTTTCTCTTTCTGTTTAGCCTCGTGAGGAGCTTTACTCTGCTGGTGATGCCGTGTTGATCCATTTCTACTCTGATGACACAATCAGTAAGAAAGGCTTCCATATCCACTACACTAGCACGAAGTTTCAGGAGGCGCTACACACACGCAAGTAACATCTCCCTGAGAGAGACTCCAGAGAGACTGAGCACAGGGATGAATCCTGCCGTGGTGTGTTTCCTGCATTGGATTTGCCTCTCTATGTTCAGCCACTAAGGAAGTGCTGTCATTTTGAACCTAAACACCTATCAGCTGCTCTTATGTGTGGGATAGCTCCGCCCACTGGAGTGGTGTCCTGCGCTCTCTGACTGGACCGGTGAAGTAAATCAACCCCTGGAAAAAACACACTCAGACATAACAACTTTTTGTTGGCTCTCTGTTATTCAGATAAGCCAGTTATATATTGAGTTGCACACTGAAATTAAGAGACAATGACAGTAAGACAAGAAGGAACTGCTATTGAACTTGTGTGTGTGTGTGTGTGTGTGGCTGTGTGCATGTCGTTCTGGACAGCATGAGCAGTTTGGCTGCTGATGGCGCACCACACAGTACCTCAACTAAAATGTGTGTGTGTGTGTGTATGTGTGTGTGTGCGTGTGTGTGTGGATGTGTGTGTTTGAGAGAGAGAGGCCTTCAAATACCAGCCTGAACTCATTCAAATGTTTTTAAAATGATGTGGTTGTAATTTTACAGTTATTCTGTTAGCTTTATGTCAAAACTTATTTTTCCCGTTCCATTGAAAGTGCAAAAGTAAATATGTAGCCCTATTTAACAATAAGCTTCCTTACATATATGTAGTCCATTGTTTATGTTTGCAGTGATGAACATAACAATTCTACGCCAAGCTGTTTTAAGGCAGTGGGTCTTATTCACAAAGCATGCGTACACATGAATTAGTGTGTGAAATCTGCGTACAAATTATGATTCCCAAAAACTTTCATACTAAAACGTATTTTAAATTTACGGGAAAAAGTAGGAACAAGTAAAACCACACTTAGGTAAATCACATGCTCTGGGTGGCCTTATAATCGTGTTAGGATGAATAGATGTTTCATCTTAAATATATTTCATCATATATAGTGAAAAGCAGCATTATAGCTCAAGCTGCGATTTTTCTCTGTATAACAGTGCAAATATGTGTATGTACAGCATCTTTAGAGAGAGTTATATGTTTGAGAGCGACAAAAGACTGTAAAGGAAAGGCTGTGTGGAACAGCCTTATGTGGAGATGGATTTGACATGTTTTATGCAAATAACACATTCATTTAATAATAGTCGGTTAAGAACAAATTCATGTTTACACTCGTGAATTAGGCGGAAACTTTTCCCCTGGATGTACAAATACAAAATAATCCCAGCAATTTCGAGTGAATGAGACCCAGTGTCTTGTGCTTCATTCATGAGCAGGCCCACAAGGAATCTGCATTGCAGCTTTCATGCCTTTTGTGTTCACACTTTGCATAATTTCACCTATCATTGAGATAATCAGAATTTAATTCAATTCTGCAGATTTCCATACATTTTTTCTTATAATGTGACAAAAGTCTGCAGATTCCATCTGGGCCTTCTGATGAGTTGCACAAACCATGTGAAGTTGTTTGAGTTTGAATTATATTTGTGTGTGAGGGAGAAAACTGATAGAATATTCTCTAATTTGTCTGTAGAAGAAAACTCTTACTCTTCCAGTAACGCCTCCTGAAGAAGTGAACAATGAACATGATGTGAACAGGAAATGATGTCATAAAGCCTTGCATAAGATGTCTGTTACAGCTGTGACAACTGACTACAACCACCTTAACCCTGTGCGCTTTATATGCACTTAACACAGAAAGACTGTATGGAACTGTGTGCTCTGCAATCATGGAAATGAAGCCGTGAGAAGTACCAATGAAGCTGAAAAAAAAAAAAAACTCTCAGAGCAAGGGAATGTTCTCTGTTGCTATTTTCCCAATGACGAGCTTTCCCTGCTTGGAAACAACGCAGAGTCGCTGTTGAAGGGAATTCCTACGGTGCTATTCAGTGTCTCCCAAAAACTCTCAGAGCAAGGGAATGTTCTCTGTTGCTATTTTCCCAATGACAAGCTTTCCCTGCTTGGAAACAAAGCAGAGTCGCTGTTGAAGGGAATTCCTACGGTGCTATTCAGTGTCTCCCAAAAACGACAGGTCCCACGAGGCAATGCTCCAGCCATTCAGTGAATGCGTTGGCGCAGTGGAGAGGCAACGTTGAAATAATGTTGCTCATCAACACAGCTAGAACATTGACAAAATACTCACAGCATTGACAGCACTAGTGTTGTGGAGGAACAATTATTGCCTTAGAACCAAAATGTACATTCTTGCACATGATGTTTCTGTAGATATTTGTTTTTTGTTTTGTTTTTTCAAATTATATTTTATTTGATATTAAGTTTAAAGAACTTGAACCTTTATGTTAAAAAATAAATTTAAATGGACTGACCTGAAGCCGTCCCCTTCTGTCCAGTTACACAAACACACTTGTCTGCATATATGCTTATACATGATCACACACACACACACACACACACACACACACACAAACTAATGTTACATTCATTTCAATGCTTTAAAGTCAGCAGTAAGACTGTCTGAACTGTGGCATATGTGTGCATCTGTTGGTCTGTGTGTTACACAGCACAGGTCATGTGACTCTGTTCTGAATCGTGAATATTTCTGTATGTGCCAAGCTCCTGTTGATTCCACTCTAGATGAGAACTATGACATATGACAATGTGAAACATGATTTATTCACCTGTTTTATCATCAGCCTAATGATGAAGAAGGACTCTTCACTCTCAAGTGATTAAACTCATGTCAGGTCAATTAAATATGCGGTCTTGTTTGTTCTTTCTCTTCCTCCTGTGTTCTTGTACATTTGACACATTAGTAGTGTGCTCTCTGCATTTCTTGTAAGTGGATAAGCAATGTTTTTTTTTCTTCAAAGGATTATTTTAAATAGGTAATTACCATATTAATCCTCATTTACTTTATGAAAATGTCTCACTATAGGCATCACTATAGATCTTTGACATCACACAAATGCACAGTGATTGTATCATTTGGTAATAATACCATGGTAGCATGATACTGGAATTCATGTACCATGATGGTAATTTGATTCACGTCTAAAACACTGTGGTATTGTTGTATGTGACATGTATAACGCAAAATGCGCAGAGTGTAGGTGAGCTGAGTTTATTGTTAGAAACAAGTACACAACAGACAAGTTACGTGAATTTCAACTTTTAAAAAACGCGTCTTTAGATAGATCTTCATTCCACTACTCTGCCTTGAGCTGAGTTTATTGTTAGAAACAAGTACACAACAGACAAGTTATGTGAATTTCAACTTTTAAAAAACGCGTCTTTAGATAGATCTTCATTCCACTACTCTGCCTCGCTTTTTTAAACACAAAACTTGTTCTGTGTAAATAGCCTATGGAGGTTGGTTTTATATTCAGATTTGTGATTTACCATATAAATCATTAATACCTTTGTGAATAGTGGCGTGCAGTCCAGGGGCCCAATTTCTACCGATGGGGGCCCCCTGGGACCACTTGCTGAGGGCCCCCAAATCTCTAAACACACCTCTGTTTGTGAAGCTGTTTGACTGATTCAAGAGAACAAAATCTATCTATATATCTATCCGAAAGCCAGTGGAAAAATCCAGGTTTTACATTGTGGGGATCCAATGACTTCACGAACAATTAGTAACAACACATTGCTGATAAAATTGTCATTTTATTTTTAGAATTTAAAAAGTAGTTTTACCCGGTAACTTACAACATATTTTATGAAGTCTGAATTAGTAACAGTTAAAATGTCTGCTGATAGTAATATCAGAAAACTAGCACCAGATGGCAGCACGCTCTTTAACACCAACACGAGGCCAAAACGGACTCTGGAACAGATGGAGTTGGCAAACGCTGTCTGTTGTGTATTTGTGTCTTGAAAATCAGGTGAGCGTGGTCTTGGGTGGAGATGAATTCTGAGCATATAGACCTCAGGTCAAGTGTAAATCAGTCTTTCTAGCTTTTTCAGTGTGTGTTTGTATAGCTATTTTATTTAATTTTTTTAACTGTTTTGATTGGATTGCGTTTGTTGTCATGAGGATTCTTAATTTCTCTCTCACACTCATTTTTTTTCTGGGTAATTGCTCAGAGATAACATTGTGATTTTAACTGGATTTTCCCTCAGCTCTAATAAAGTGTCTTTTGATAGCCAGATTAGAGCCAATAGACCATTTTAGAAAAGACTCACATTTGTTGTTTTTAATAATGCAGAGCCACTGTACACTCCAAAAAAATGCTGGGTTGTTTCAACCCAACTTTGGGTCAAATATGGACTAACCCAACTTTTGGGTTAAAAATGTAATTGAAAAATTTAACCCAACAGTTGGGTTAGTCCATATTTGACCCAAAGTTGGGCTGAAACAACCCAGCATTTTTTAGAGTGTAGACAATATTAATGATTGATCAATACATTTTTTTTTCAATAACCAGTTCCTTTGACCCCAAAAAACATTTTGTTATAAAATATTTTTGATGCATAAAATTAAGGCTCAGGACTGGTGTCTAAGATCAAGTAGGCATCATTCTGAAGGGTTTTGTGATGCATGGCTTACTGTCTCACTTATTAGGGCTGCTTTAAAAATAACTTGATCTATATGATCAGTTTTTTAATGTAGACATTTTTAATTACACGTTATATAATAAAAAGGGTAATAAAAAAATGAATAGTAGGCCTAGTTGTTTCTTATTGGCCTGATTAGCCAAGCCCTCCATAAAATACACAAAACAAGATTTTAAGTAGGCTAATTAATACTCCAAATAACTCTCATAAAACAACACGTATAAAACACCTCATACATTGGCTTTTGATGATTGTAAAATGTGTTTTGTGCATGTTTTGAGTGAGTTTTCGTTGCAGTTACACCATTTTGACCAGCAGGCGTGCAGTGTTCAGCGCGTTCAGTTGATTCGGATTTATAAAATTCTCTTGTTCAGTCACAGCTGTTTCTATCACTCCGTTTTGGCAGTATTGTGTTTTTTAGTGACCTTCTGCAGGTTATATTTGCCCTGTCCCAAATGGCACCCTAAACCCTTACGGTCTTCCTCTGAGTCTGCACTTTCGTGATGTAATGACGCTTTGACTGCTGGGTAGAAGTAGGCTGCGTAGCTCACAGGCTCAGCAGAAGTGTGCATCGAGGGCGCATAGAGGAAAACATTCCAGGATTTTTCTCCATATAATGGACTTCAATGGGGACCAGTGGGCTGAAAGTCCAAATTGCAGTTTCAGTGCAGCTTCAAAGGGCTCTACATTATCCCAGCCGAGGAATAAAGGTCATTGCACACTGAGAACTAAATTTTCGCACGTTAAAAAATAAATACGACCTCACGTCATGTCAATCACGTTT